GCCAGGAGGTGGAGGTTGCAGTGAGCTGAGATCGCGCCACTGCACTCCAGCCGGGCAACAAGAGCAAATCTCCATCTCAAAAACAAAACAAAACAAAAACTTAGATCCTGCTTGTCTCTCTGTGACTTCAGAGGCCCAAGGAGTCCTCAGCACTACAGATGCATTGTGGCCCCTCAGAAGACAACAATTTCACAGATCTGCAAAGATAAAGGTCAAATTTTATTTAATACAGCGCCACGAGGGTCCTGTAGCTGTGTCACTGGGCAAACAGGAAAAGTGATTTTGGTTAGGCGTGGTTCTCAACCTGTGAAATTCCACAGCGCAATGACAGCAGCCTCCTCTCCCACTCAAGACACTGTCAGGAATGTCTTAAGACCTCAGGAGACCACTTCTTTAGCAAGCAGTTTTTTTTTTTTTTTTTTTTTTTTTTTTTTTTTTGAGATGGATTCTCGTCTGATCCACTGGTGTTCTGCCCACCTCAGCTTCCCACAGGGCTGGGATTGCAGGCGTGAGCCACCATGCCCAGCCTAGACTCTTCTGACAATATGATGAAAGCTGTTGGTTCCTTTCCCCAACACACACACACACACACAGTTGTATCACGAAAATGTCATACAATTTCCAAGTTTTCAGAGTGGTGGGCTCAGATTGCGGTCAAAAGATCAGACGACCTCTAATGACCTTCACATCTCTGTTGATGATCTGGGGACAGCTGGAGCCCCTGTGTCCAGGGAGTTCCTTAGTCCCTTGCCCTTACCAGAGAAGGGCAATTGCCACGGGAGCTGCAAAGACCCTATTCCTACTCTCGGTGCCTTACTTATGCAGCACAACTGAATTTTTTGTTTTGTTTTTGTTGAGACAGGCTTGCTCTGTTGCCCAGGCTGAGCGCAGTGGTGTAACCACGGCTCACCGCAGCCTCGAACCCCTGGGCTCAAGCCATCCTCCCACATCAGTCTCCTGGGTAGCTGGGACCAGAGGCCTGAGCCGCCATAGCTGGCTAATTTTTTAATTTTTTTGCAGAGATGAGGTTTCATCATGGTGCCCAGGCTGGTCTCGAACTCCTGGACCCAAGTGATGCTCCCTCCTTGGCCTCTCCAAGTGCCGGGATTGCAGGCATGAGCCACCACCTCCAGCCTGTGGAGCACACACGAGTTTAAAATTACTTTCCCTTCCGCCTGTATTTCCAAGGAGGAAACTTCATGCACAGGGATCTTTCTTAGTGGATTTAATGGCTAAAAGGTCTGTCTGAACCCAGGACGCTGGCTTCAGCCTTGCTATGCAGCTGCGGTAACCCCAGTGTCTAAGCCTGAGGCATCCCAGGAGCCCCCAGTGTCTAAGCCTGAGGCATCCCAGGAGCACCCACTCCACTTTTCTCGGCCGCGGAACTCATTAGTTAGAGCGCCCTCTTGTGTCCTCAGGTGGTAATCGGTCATTAAAGGACTTAAAACGGTCCTTAGCCAACACACAGAACTTTCCCTTTTCTGACCCCAAGAGGTCAGCCATCCATTTCGTGAGCATATACTGGTGGCCCCATCAGCGTTCTCTGATTGGCTAACTGAACTCACTCCCCAACCTAGACTCAAGGGAGGCCAAGTGACGCTAAGATCAACATTCACTCACTAAAGCAATGACTCTCGGGCGATTTTGTGTCCCGTTGGTTTTGGAATGGTGTCTGCAGACAAATTTTGGTTGTCACAGCTGGGTGGGTGTGCTCCTGGCATCTGGTGGGTAGAAACCAAGGATGCTCCTAAACATCCTACGGGCACAGAACCGTCTCCCATGACCAAGCATGATCAAGTCCCAAATGCCAATAATGGCCAGGTTGAGAAACTCTGCATAGAAGCATCCAGCTATTTGTCTGTTTGCTCAACAAGCTTGTGCTCATCGTGCTCTGTGTTCCTGACACTGTGCTGAGTGTTGGGGGTGAGATGATTACAAGAGTTACATGGCAGCTGTCCTCCTGGAAGGTACAACCCAGTAGAGATGCAGACGAACAGAGAGTCAATTACAAAGCAGTGTGACAAGCGTCATGCTGGAAAATTAAAAGCTCAAACAAGGGCAGATGGGAGGGGCTTCCAACACAGACTTTGGGGAATCCAGGAAGGTCTAAGAGAAAGGTGAGTCTCACCAAAGCCTTGACCACAGGCAGAGGGTACCAGGTAGAAAAGGTGGGGTGAAGAGCATTGAGGACAAAAGGAGAAAGTGCAGGAAGGCCCTGAAGCAAGGGAGTGGGGGGTGCCCTAGAGGGATGGCAGCAGGGTAGTCTGTCAGACCGAAGTGGCCTCCAGCCCTAGAAGCCAATTAGTCTTCCTCAAAACGCTGCCACTGTCCCCTAAGAATTGCTGCCATGCTCCCAATGGCCTGACTCAGTCTTAGAGAGTCTTATGGAGAAGGTCTCTGAAAGGTACACAGCAAGAACTCTCCCCAGTACAGCTGTTTTTAAGACTCTCCACCAGCGTCATTAGCGTGTTGGGAAGAAGCCCTCTGCCACAGAGGCCAGCTTCAGCCTTTGCCTAACACCGCAGGGGCAAATGGAAAGGTAAACGGGAAGGAGATGTCTCCCCAGCAGGTTATTTGCGAACAGTCTCCCCTGCAGAGGATCTCAATCTGGGGTCCACAGAGCGGACATGTTAGAGTAGGGAGCTAGGCAAACATGAGCAGGACAGGAGAGAGCCCCCACAAGAACGTCAGGCGACCATCAGGTGATGGTCTCTGTAAAACTGTCTCTGTAAAATAATTGGTTGCAGCCAGTTCCAAGCAAGGACAGTCTCTCAATAGATACAAAACACCCGGATCTGGTGATCAGCCGCTTCCCGATAAGATGTCAGGAGCTGGGCAAGTAGGCTGGAGCATGCGCACCAAAAGGCAAAATGGCGGAATTTAACCAGTGTATGACCTCGCTCTGGGAACGCACGACTGGTAAGGGGAAAATGCCTCAGGTGAGCATGCGCTCAACTTCAGTACTCAGACTGTGCTTACGACCCCTCCCAAGTGCTGGCGGGTCACCATATACGCGGACAGCCTGCTCCAAGGGAAGAATCAGGGGAGATGAGACGTAAATCCCAGAACCACGCCAAATATATAAAACCCCAAGTTAAGGGTCAGGCAGGGCACTCAGATCTCAAGTTGCCTGCCTGACCCAAGTGTACTGTACTTCCTTTTGTTCCTGCTCTAAAACCTTTTAATAAACTCTCACTCCTGCTCTAAAACTTACCTTGGTCTCTCCCTGTGCCTTAAAAAATCAGTTAAAACCACCTCTTCCCCTCAGCTGAGTTCTGTCTTTGAGAAGGCAAGCATTGAGTTAGCTGCAGACCCGTTGGATTTACCGCTGGTAACAGAAGTTGGGGTAAGGTGTGGGGCCTGACAATTCCCTAAGCGTGGGTGCAAAAGGTTATGAGGGTGTGCAGTTTTCTATGGGAGAGAATCCATAGCTTTTATCCATATCTTTGTTTGTTTTGAGATAGAGTCTTGCTCTGTCACGCAGGCTGGAGTGCTCTAGTGTGAACATGACTCACTGCAGCCTTGACCTCCCGGGCTCAAGCAATCCTCCTGTCTCAGCTTCCCAAAGCTGAGACCACAGGCGCCCACAACCATGCCCAGCTAATTTTTAATTTTTTTGTAGAGATGAGGGTGTTGCTATGTTGCCCAGGCTGGTCACAAACTCCTGGGCTCAAGTGATAGAACTCCTGCCTCAGCCTCCCAAAGTTCTGGGATCATAGGTGTGAGCCACCACGCCTGGCCTTTTATCGGTTTCTTAAAGGGAGATAGGGTCCAAAAAAGGGTTAGGAACTTCTAAATAATTAAAAACTCACATATGCTTCATATTATTTGATGTCAGTTAAAACCCCAAAATAGTGATCAATACATTTCTTACCAAAGGATCTACTTTAAAGACAGTTTTACATCCAATATCCTCAGCAAGACTTGGCTTGCCTTCAGAAAATTGCTCAGAATAAGGAAACAAATGGTGATTTCAACATTTGAAGGGGGTAGCCCTCATCTCTCAAAAGTAATAAGCTATTAGAATGTTTTGGAATACCAGACCAGATGCAGTGACTCATGCCTGTAATCCCAGCACTTAGGGAGGCAGAGGCAGAAGGATTGCTTGAGCCCAGGAGTTTAAGTTCTGCCTGGACAATATAGCGAGACCCCATTCTCCACAAAAAGAAATAAAAAAAAGAAAAGAAAAAAAAAGAATGTTTTGGAATATCAAGGAACTAGCAGTAAATCTATTGAAAAACTTCATAGTCCAAAGAGTTTCTAAAGCGTAAATTGTCCCTTCATCTATATTTCATAATTCAATAAGAAGTGAACTCTTACTTCAAAATGAACTTTGACGATAGAAAAGAAACGTTATTTCCACATTCAGAAACGATGATGATGCTGGAAAGCAAATACACTTTTTTGTTTGTTTGTTTGTTTGTTTGTTTTTGAGTTTCACTCTTGTTGCCCAGGCTGGAGTGCAATGGCACCATCTTGGCTCACTGCAACCTCTGCCTCCTGGGTTCAAGCAATTCTCCTGCCTCAGCCTCCCAAGTAGCTAGGATTACAGGCATGTGCCACTACACCTGGCTAATTTTGTATTTTTTTAGTGGGATGGAGTTTCACCATATTGGTCAGGCTGGTCAAACTCCTAACCTCAAGTGATCTACCCACACTGGCCTCCCAAAGTGTTGGGATTATAGGCATGAGCCACCACGCCTGGCCGCAAATACAATTCTTAAAGAAAAATAAAAACTAAATTGGAATAGGGGATTGGCCACCAGTCAACTACATGACCTTGGATGTGTCACACATCCTAGGGTTCCTCTCCTGTAAAAGAAAATGTATTCATCATCTCCCAGGGATGCAATAACAAATTACCACAAACCAGGTGGCTAAAAACAACGGAAATCTATTCTTGCACAGTTCTGGAATCCCGAAGTCCAAAATCAAGGTGTCAGCAATGCCATGATCCTCCAAAGCTCTAGGAAAGACTCCTTCTCTGCCTCTCCTGGCCTCTGATGGTTCCTGGCATTCCTTGGGATTTTCTAGGTTGCAGCTGCACTGGGATTTTCTGGGTTACAGTGACTCCAGTCACTGCCTCTGTCATCACAGGGCATTCTTTCACATGCGTGTCTGTGCCTTCACATGGCCTTCTGAGAAGGACACTAGAGCTGGGTGTGGTGGCTCACACCTGTAATCCTAGCACTTTGGGAGGCTGAGGCAGGTGGATCACCTGCAGTCAGGAGTTCGAGACCAGTCTGGTCAACATGGTGAAATCCCGTCTCTACTAAAAATATAAAAACTTAGTCAGGCGTGTTAGCCCCCACCTGTAATCCCAGCTACTCAGGAGGCTGAGGTAGGAGAATCGCTTGAACCCAGGAAGTGGAGGTTGCAGTGAGCCAAGATTGCACCACTGCGCTCCAGCCTGGGGGATAGAGCAAGACTCTGTCTCCAAAAAAAAAAAAAGGAACACTAGTTATCGAATTTAGGGCCCACCCGAATCCAATACAACCCCATCTTCACTAACGTTATCTACAAAGACCCTGTCTCCAAATAAACTCACATTCTGAAGTTCCAAGCAGACACGATTTTGGGATTTTGGGGTGACGCTATTCAACCCAGTACAGAAAGGATTGGACTAGATGAGCTCAGGTCCTTGTAGCTCTGACTTTCCAGGTTTCTAAGATGCTCATGTAAATTGGAAGGCAGAAAGATGGTGATTTGCCTTCAGATAACATCATCTTCTCAGCATCATCTTTTGAGCCTTCTCAGGCCAATATTCTCTCACTGTGCTCTGTTCTCTTGTGCTTTGTGTCTCTGTATCTCTGAAATATTACTGTTTTCTTTTCTATTTTATTTATTTATTATATAGAAATGAGGTCTCACTATGTTGCCCAGGCTGGTATCAAGCTCCTGAGCTCAAGCAATCCTGCTGCCTCGGCCTCCCAAAGTTCTGGGATTACAGGCATGAGCCACCATGCCCGGCCTTTTTTAAAACTTTTTTTGAGACAGAGTCTTGCTCTGTCTCCCAGGCTGGAGTGCAGTGGTGCGATCTCGGTTCACTGCAACCCTGCCTCCCAGGTTCAAGTGGTTTTCGTGCCTCAGCCTCCCAAGTAGCTGGGATTACAGGCGTGTGCTACCATGCCAGCTAATTTTTGTATTTTTAGTAGAGATGGGGTTTCGCCATGTTGGCCAGGTTGGTCTCGAACTCCTGACCTCAGGTGATCCTCTCACCTCAGCCTCGCAAAGTGCTGAGATTACAGGCGTGAGCCACCAGGGCACCCGGCCTATTGTTTTCTTTCTCTGATCTTCTTCAAAGTTCTCCCTCACTCTCTTCTCTCATTCTTTCTCTGCATCCTCCTTTCCCTTCCTTTTTCTCCTCTATTTCAGCTTTTTTCTTTGTCTCCCTCCCATTCATTGGCCAGAATACGTAACTGAAGTTTATAAACGTCTCTTTTAAAATTTAGTTGTATTTATTTTAGAGACGAGGTCTCCCTTTGCTGCCCAGGCTGGAGTGCAGTAGCTGTTCATTGGTGTGTGTGATCGTAGCACACCACAGCCTCAAACTCCTGGGCTCAAACGATCCTCCTGAGTAGCTGGGACTACACGTGCGTGTCATAGCACCTGGCCTGAAGTTTATATATTTCTTGTATATCCTGAAGAATTTTATATTCCCAGGGTTGTTCTTGTTGTATTTTGTTTTGTTTGTTTTTGAAAGTCAATGCCTGGAATATTTTTTACTTTTCTTTCTTTTTAGGGAAAAAAAGGCTCCAAAAGCCTTCAAAGTTGTTTTCTACATACATTTGACCCTTGGTGGATTATTTTTCCAAGGATTTATTGGACTCATTAGGAAAAAGTCCCCAGTTGCTGCCTTACTTCCTCCCAATCCTGGGATGTGCTCGTTTTCCTGGAACCTCTTGGCACAGGAGGGTCTGGCGTGATGCCGGGCACTGTTCCATCAGTTTCTGGTACACCAACACACCCTCCTCAGGGACTGGGTTGTTTGGGCCAGAATTTGTAGCATGAGGAAATCTCCCACTCTCCTCCCAAGACTTCTACAGAGTCTGGGACTGGATTCTAGGAAAGGAAAAAGAGTGGATTTCAGTGTCTTCCAATGACAGACCCTAAAGCAGAACCTAACACTGTCTCTGGAAGCCCATCACACCACCAGCCATTGATTAAAAGTGTGTATCCCTGGGCCAAGACAAGCTCAGTTTGCAGATGGTGTCTCTGGCAGGGTTACTTTAAGATGAAATAGATAGCAAATTTTAAAGTTCTTTTCGGCTGGGCACAGTAGCTCACACCTGTAATCCAGCACTTTGGGAGGCTGAGGCGGGCAGTTCATTTGGAGTCAGGAGTTTGAGACCAGCCTGACCAACATGGCGAAACCCCGTCTCTACTAAAAATACCAAAAAAAAAAAAAAAAAGAATTAGCTGGGGTGTGGTAGCGCACGCCTGTAATCTCAGCTACTTGGGAGGCTGAGGCAGGAGAATCGCTTGAACCCAGGAGGTGGAGGTTGCAGTGAGTTGAGATGGCACCACTGCATTCCAGCCTGGGCAATGGAGTGAGACTCTGTCTCAAAAAGATAAAAATAAAAAATAGGCTGGGCACGGTGGCTCATGCCTGTAATCTTAGCACTTTGATAGGCTAAGGCGGGCGGATCATGAGGTCAGGAGTTTGAGACCAGCCTGACCAACATGGTAAAACCCTGTCTCTACTAAAAATACAAAAATTAGCCAGGCATGGTGGTGCGCACCCGTAATCCCAGCTACTCAGGAGGCTGAGGCAGGAGAATTGCTTCAACCCAGGAGGCGGAGGTTGCAGTGAGCCCAGATCGCGCCACTGCACTCCAGCCTTGGTGACAGAGCGAGACTCTGTCTCAAAAAAAATAAAAATAAAAATAAAAAAATAAAAAGTTCTTTTCATCAGGAAGCTCTTGACTACAGTCATTTCAATAGACCCTTTGGCATGTGCAGATTAAACATTTGAGGTTTTGATTATTTAGAGAATGACTACAATGATTTAGATTTGAGGCAGGCTGTCCTTCCATTGGGCCCTTGTGGCAGGGTCATTTGCAGAATTAATTTGTTGTTAATCTCCCTGGGCTCCTTCCTGTCCCTGCTGCCACACACACCTCTAGAAATCCCAATTTGTGTGCTTCTCACCCCAAGAGAGGTTGTAGAGCAGGAAGGGGCAGAGGTGGGGCAGCAGATAATAAACTGTCCCC